CATCCTCAGAGCAACGGCCTAACTGAGGTTACAAATCGAATTATCTTATAGGATCTCAAAAAGAAGCTTGGGGAAGCTAAAGGAGCTTGGTCTGAGGAGCCACCATCTATACTTTGAACATATAGAACGTCCCACAAGACCACAACAGAGGCGACTTCTTTCACATTGGCATTTGGGGATAGAAGCTATACTTCCAATTGAGACCAGACTACCGAGCCTCAGGAGACATGAGCCTAGGTTCGAGGAGCACTCAACAGAGCACATTGACCTGCTTGAAGAAATGAGAGAACAAGTAGCCATAAGGGTTGCATCATACTAGAGAAGAACAGTTAAACACTTCAATAGCAGGGTAAGATCCAGGAGCTTTAGGGTTGGAGATCTCCTGTTAAAAAGTGCCGAAGCAGCGGGTCATGCCCCAGGCAAGTTTAGACCCTTTGAAGTCATAAGACAAGTCTGCAAAGTAGCATACAAATTAAGAGACACATCGGGAAGACCACTTTCAAAACTTTGGAACGTTGATAATCTCAAGATTTATTACAAGTAGTTTATTTTACTTTCGCCTATTAGTTTTTCTTTTCACTTATACTTTTCAGTTTTTTGGGCATGTATGCCCCGCATCTTTTTTACTTTTTAGGTGGTCGGGCCTGCATGCCCACGTTAGGTATTTAGGAAAAATAAGTTTGCTTGAATAATTAGAGTCGAGATTTCATTCCAATAAAATATTTTTAATCTCAAACGCTAACAAAGTCTTGCCACCCCGAAGCATTGCCACGTGCAAGCCCCTCAAAGCTTTGCCATGAGCAAGCACATCAAAGTCTTGTCCCATGTCAAGCATCTCAAAGCCTTGTCTCATGCACGCACCTTGAGAACAACACACGTTAATGATTGGACGAGCAACAAAACATCACTATCAAATAGAGGAACTACTAATCAAGCCATGGTCAGGCAATGTACTTTACAAAAAATTTAATACAATAATGCTTGGGAAAAGGGGACGGGACCTAGTCTAGGTCATTGCTCATCAGGGGCCTACATACCTCAGCTTCATCATTGGCACCATCATCATCCTCGATCATTGTACCTTCAGATGATGATAGTTCGAGCCCTTCAACAGCTTTGGGTGAAAACATCAGGTCTTCAGCGTTGACATCGGCCTATTTAGAGCAAAGGTATGCCTAGGCTTATTCGAAGGCATAATTACATGAGCTCAAGGCATATTCGCCCTTTACCGCCGAACTCCTCCGACTAATTAAAGTCCTCGACAGGCTTGACCCGAGCTTCCTCAAGCTTGACCTCTACCTCTTTTGTTCTGTTCTAGAGTTTGAGCTTGGCTTCCTCAGCCTCATACTTTGCCACCCCTACCTTGTCTCCAGCTTGCCTTGGCGACGTCTTAAGCTCGTAACGTTGCCTCGAGTTCCATAATGTGTTAGACCCTTAAATCAAGCTCTTTCTCAAGCGAGGCAACATTTATGGCCTGTCTTTCTCCTCTTAAGGCTAGAGTTCGAGCCACGATCAAGGCCTTTATACAACATAGCAATAGTTAGTGATCGGGTCTTCAACTTTAAAAAAATTCAAACAAAAATATGTAGTGTAGAGCTCGACGTTACCTTCAGTGTAAGAGCCTTGATCGCCTTTACATCCTAATCATGCTCAAATCTTATCATCGGTACTTTTCGAGGAGTTCAGGAACGAGCGTGCATTTCCCAACTTTAGTGGTTGATGAGGGGCATACAGGAATGTGATCTTCAATGTTGACGACTATGGTGTGCCTCGAGGAGTCTGAGTGGATGGCATCTTGACCTGAAGGGTAGGGGCTTCAGTTGACCTCCTCGGGGCCTTTTCTCATCAATTCAGGTGTCATTTCCAGAGGTCGTTTCTTACCCTTCTTCCCGGCCTGTTTAGCAAAAGCACATTTGTCTTCTGCTAGACTGTTCGATGAAGGTTATAAGGGTCGAATGCCATCTCGAGTACTGTAAAAATAAAAATAGAAGTCATTAGAACTAAGATATAATAGGTCGAACAATTAAAGTAAAAGTAAAAGATCTTCGCTTCTACCCTCGACGCCCTTTACATTGGCTAGATCGAGGGCATCATCCCCAAGGAGATCATCCATACTATATGCTAGAGGCTCAAGCTAGGCCATGCTCTGCCTATCCTTCTCTAATACCTTGAAGTAGGCTTGGCCCTCATTAAAGCGTTCGGTGCTCGAGACAGTCCACTAAGGATTGAAATGGTGGTTGTTGTCTTGGGGTTGAATAAAAAAATATTTAGATTTCCATCCTTTAAGAGAGCTCGACATTTTGGGGACTTTAAATTCTCCTCGGGAAGACAAATATACAAAGCAGTTAAAGCTCGGGAGAGTCTTCAGCTCGAAGATCATCCTGAGCAAGTCTAACCATGGGACGATGGACAAATACCTACAAGCTATGAAAAAGTAAACGAGCAACATCCATCCATTTGGAACAAGTTGCCCTGGGTATATATCTTGCTCGACCAAAAACTCGAAGAAGAAGGGATGGAAGGGTCACCTAAATCCTCACATTCGACTTCCCTAAAAAAGGCTATCTCACCCTCTCAAGTACTAGTGACTCTTTCCTCAGGCCCAGGAAGACGGACGTCGCACGAAGGCATTACCCCAAATTCTCGAGCTATTCATATGACCTCGTGTTCCTTATACCTACTACGTCGATCGGCTAAGGAAAGGGTAGGGTGTCTATCAATTAGGATGGCAAAAGGAATGACCCTCTCCGGGCGTTGAGCTCGAGCCTGAGGAACTACTACTAGATATCTTCAGAAAATAAAAACTTAAATTATCTAAAGGGCACGAGCTCTTACCTTAAGCCTAAACCTGAGGTGGTCCTAGGAGTGTTTGAAGAGTGAAAAGTGACAAATCAGGTGGGGTATGGGGGTATTTATAGGATTTCGGGGAATGCAAAAGGTCCATCAATCCTGGCCCTTGAACCAAGACACGTGGCAATCATCTATATGAGGCAATCACTAGCTCGATGATCGAGGCCACGTCTCGCCATTCAGTGGGACCCTTACTGTCCCATGAGTCCACAGCCCCATCCAAAGGCTGATCAATTATGCTTCAAAGACTGGGCAGTCCAACCTTAAGGGTTGTTCAGTCCTATTTCAAAGACTGATCAGTCCAACCTCAAAGGCTGATCAATCCCATTTCAAGGCTGATCGGTCACATTCTCAAGACTGATCAGTCCAAACCTCAAAGTTTGATCAGTCCCATTTCAAGGCTGATCATTCTAATTTTCAAGGTTGATTAGTCCCAATTCAAGGCTGATCAGATCCATTGCGAAGACTGACCGTTCTTGTTACCCAGGCTAATCATGCTCACTAAAGACTGATTGTTCCTATGAAGTTGCAATATGGATCACATCCCAGAATCTCGACTATGAGGCTTTGGCATGGATGCATGGGGGCCAGTGATGATCCCAATATAGGGGGCTAGCCCGAGCAAGGACCTCGAGGAGGTCGGGATCAATTTTTTCACGACCTCCATGATATCCTCGGTCATGTCTCCTCAGGGTCGAGTCTCCTCGCCCCAGCAGCCCTTCCTGGAGTTTACGGCAAACACCTCGTACCTTGTAGTCCCTAATTTATTAGGACTCTCCTTCATGTCAAAGCTTATCCAACTCAAAGAAATGGAATCCTGCTGCTAGTATGTTACCCCATCCTGGAAGGATTCAACCACTAGAGTTCCATCGTTATCCAAACACATAGGTGATACAAAACCAATCAAGTTGCAACTTCCAATCACGGTAGAACTCCTAGGGATTTCAACAGTGTAATCCTACTAGGAATGTACTACCCACCTCTATAAATACATCATTCTAATTTATTATTAAGGTACGACTTAAATAATTTTCAGCACATATCTTTTCCTAAATTCTCTTTCTGACTTAAGCATCAGATGGATGATGATGACACATCTCGACGCATTTGTTTCAGGTACCGGAGGATCTCGTTCGTGCTTATTCTCAGTCGTCAAACTCGAAAATCAACATATATATAGCCCCTTTAGCAAATTCACCCGGAACCTTTACAATCAGACTCTTTGAGTCCCAAACCTTAAGTGCATTTGCATGTTTCGTCCGTTTTATATGATTTTGTTAACTTTGTCATTTTTAAAAACTGGATATATTTTTTTTCCTATTTTTCTTTATTTTCGTATTTTTATACATGAAGAAATATAATTTCCATTTACTTTCCTAATTATTTCGATTTTTCGAGTTTTGGATAATTAAAGCTATATTTATTTAAAGTAAAATGTTGTTTATTCCCCCGTTTGGATTTTTCATTATTTTTATGTACGAATGATCCAAAATTTTTGGTTCCTGGGTTTGTAGATTCTAGGCAGAGGTTATAGTCTCAAATCAGCAACATATTTGAATCAATTGTTTATTCCATTCAAAATATTGCTAAAAACTGAATTTTTTTTATTTAAAATTTATATAGGGGTTATATGTCATTTTCAAGAACTACATTCAGAATCATTGCAAATATTCATGTTCTCATTATAATCTTTGTTTGATCCGCGTTATTGTTCTTAGTAATAATCAAACAAGGACATTTTGTCTGTTGAATTGTTGATTATGTAAGAATATAAAGTATAAAATATATCATCAGAATGCAGAAAGCTGAAAGAAATGATGCAGAAGAGTTAAAAACAAAACAATAACTGAAATAAAAATATTTTGGCATAAAAAGTGTTCATATAGTTCATACATATATACCATAACAACTCTATAGAACAGTGCCTTCATAATTTTTATGAGAATTCAAACCCAAGAACTTTTGAATAATATTATTTGCAGTCGCTCATTACTGGAGTAGATGACTTCAAATAGTATTACTCTATCTTATTTGACCAATAAAGAGACAACATAGAGAAAAAAGGGGCACTTAACTCATTTTTTTCCTTCTTTAGAAATATATCAAATTTTATTAGAATTCAACAACTGTATCAAATTAACATTAGAGACTCAAAAGCGTTGATTGAGACCGTGACAACATCCACTTTGAGTTTCAGTTGATTTAGTAGAGTAGACGAAGTCCTTCATATCATCGTACAAATTTTTAGCAGCTGTCTTATCTTGTAATTCCATACCATGATAGCCTCCTCGATTAAGCTGATAAATCACTTGCACTCCATACGACTGCAACAAGTGTACTAACTGCATCGCTCGATCAGCCATTGGGTCTCCTATATCGGATTTCATGAAGCATCTTGGCAAACGTTGGACTCTTCCAAGGTAATTCCCACCCTTGATTGGATTACAAAACTCATGATCTCGATTGGCACCATGTGGCAATGCCAATGACCACAATACATCACATACATACAAAGGAACATATTTATCCTCTTCTAGTCTCACCTCTGACTGAGTCCTTTGAAGTCCACCAAAAAATGGCTGGTTCATTAACAGCCCTATTATTTTTAGTGGTCCAAGATCGAAATCCAGTGCACGTAGGGCTACATGGTAAGCTATGTTAGCACCTGCACTGCTGCCCATAATGAAAACCCTAGAAAAATCAGCATACTCTAACCATGGATCACGGCCTCCGACACCTAGTGCCTGGTCTTTAGCCCAGAGGATAGCATTCAGAGCATCGTCATAAGCGGCAGGGAGGCGGTTTTCAGGGGCCAGCCGGTATTCAACTGAGGCTACGACTGCCGGGAACTGGCCGGCTATGTTGTTGCAGAATTCATGAAAAATGACAGTGGATGCACTGAACAACACGAAGTCACCTCCGTGTAGGTAGATTATGAGTGGAAGTTTGGTGCCTGTCGGGGTTTTTGCGGG